CTGGGCCTTGGCGTGGCCTTGTCTGAACATTCTGGGAGCAGTGAGATTGAACAGTCGCCCTTAGAGTCAGAAGAGACATATCTGTATGAAATGTGCGTATGAAAAACTTACTCCACTTCCTTTTGAAGGGCTCAGAATTTTGCTCAAAGCCAACAAAAAAACATGCAAGTGAGCCATTTCCAGGGCTTTCCATACAGGTGTGTTGGCAGCTGTTCAACCCATAAGGTGGGCACAGTTGGTATTACCTCTGATGAATGCAAAGCAGCCTGCTGCAAGATGAAAAAGTGTTGTTCACAATGTGTGGAGCTGTAGTCAGCTTGCACGGTTGGCTGCAAGTCCTGCTCCAGGCCTGGCTACAAACATGGTGGGAAAACTCACAGGAAGATCCATGCAATTGCATTTAGGCTGGGAATTATATCAGGAATTATTTGTTTTCCCTCAAAGAAAAACAAGATCTTATTTCCAAGCTATTAATGGAAACAGTCACGCATTCTGAGGCTTTTAAAGAGAAAAGAAGAAGAAAAACACACTAAGTTGTTTTGCTAATATGAGTAATGTTCCTCAGGATTTGTAATGAAATTAAGCTTCTGATTGCTTCTCCATCTAGGAAAGAGTAATTTCCACTCAAGAAGTGCAGGGAATAGCATTTCAACAGATAGCAATTCATCACCATTGCTGTGACGCTTGCTTTTCTGCTCACCTCCAGAATCTCCTTCCAGTTTCCTTTTTCTATACACAAGAGGCACACCTCTTTGTCCTCCAGCTGATGCACAGCAGAGGACACAGAGAGAACAGAGAACAGGTTCCAGATTGGGCAGCCCAGCCTCACTGGGGGTTGCAAGAGCCTTGGGAACAAGCTCACCAGCACAGACTCTTGGCTTTCATTGGAGGAATACTGAGATCTTATCAGAACAAAGGCCCCATGTTTGAGCATTCAAATTTGAAAGCTTTTTGAAGGTTTTGGGCCAATTGATATAGCCAACACTAGCAAGCCTGTGACACAGGCAGGACTGGAGTTTCTGATTTCCAGTGCCTCATGTCTATTTTTAGTTCCAAAATCAGATAAACAGTAAGAATCAAAAGCAAACCGACAACAGAGAACCTCCTGGAAAAGAGCAGCTGTGTACTTCTGACTTTTTCCACAAGTAGCTAGGTTTTAAGGAACAATAACAAAACAGCAGTGACAGACACACAGACAGAATAAACCAGTGATTAACTGTTTTTACAGGCTCCTCATTTGGCTTTTTAGGAAAACTACATTTTTTGCATCATGTTCCCAAGCAGTTCCTGGCCATCTGAAGGAGCTGTATTTCTTTTCAGATATCTCTTCTCCCTTGATGCACCTATGCTAGTTTTTGAGAAGCAGTAAGGCCATCAGCCTCCTTCCCTTTTTAAGGTTATTTTAATGCCTTCAGCAGCACAATGGCAACTTTTGATTTCCCAGGAAATTACAGTAAAGTCTAAGCGGGATCATTTGAGCTTGAGGCTTGATATATTTCCTCATTGCCCTCAGTAATAAGACCACCTTTGGGTGACCAAGAAGCAACTTTTAGTAATTCAAAGATAAATGTTTACTTTGGAAGAAAAAAAAAAAAAAAAAAAATTGCATTTGTATTGTCTAATTTGTGCAGGCATTTCAAGAAAACATATTCCTGGGCAATAAATTGGTCCCAAGCAACGGTAAAACAATGATAAAATGAATAAACAAAGATGTGCAAAATTTTCAGGGAAAATATGAATATCTGCTTAGGTTAGTCTACTACAGCATATATCCTGTGGGGGAAAAAAAAAAAGAATTTGATCATATTTTTGAACATCTATCATGATGTGGATACATTAGGAAGATTAATTTTGGCATTCTTTAATATTTTCTGTTTGTTGTGAGGAGGGGAGCAAGACAGAGGGAATCTTTTGATCTTTAGACATAGCGTAGACATACACAGTGTGCACTGGAGGTCAGAAAAACACACCAGGATGCAAACATTTATTTTAAGCTATGTTGTATTTGGGACTTTACAGAGCACCCAGGAATGGTTGGTTGCCTATTTATTGCAGAATCACAGTAGCATTTAAGAAAGACTGGAACAGGGCTATAAAGAATCACCTTGAAAATGGACAGGAGCATGGAATTCATTACAGAAAAAACACCCTAGCAGTCAGAAATGTATTTTTATGTCTTGGATGACAACCTGAAGTAGCCCAGAGCCAATGTTTTTATAGACTCTACTATCTTTCAGACTTGACCTAAAAGCTTCATAAGAAGCAAAGTTATTTAGAATAATTTGATTTATAAGTGATGTCCATAAACCATAACTTTGCCACAAGCAGTTGCACAGTGACAAGCAGCACTGGCTATGCTGTCATTGGTAAATACTTTGCAAAAGGAGAGGACTTGTCATTTTAATACCAGCATCCAAGTCAGTTGAAACTAACCCTGAAGTTAAAAATAAAAAAACACAAGCTGTGGGAGTGAACAATTAATTACAGTAATTTCCTGGAAATCAGAATAATATGCACAAACTCTTATCAAAATTTGAAATAAGTATTTTGGACCAGGTAAGCTTTCAGCTGGTAAGGCTGTATATGGATACTGTAAAACTGAAATTTAAGATGTTTATATCGTTTATATCTCTGAAGGATATGTTTACAGAAAAGAAAACAGCAGAGGTATAGCAAGACTCCTTAGAAAGGATTCCTCATGCATTTTTTAAACAAGCCTTTGGTATTCTCTCTCTTCAGAATACTTTTTTCTGAGCCCAAAGGGCTCAGACTCTGGAGAATCAGCACTTCCATTGAGGTCTGCAGGGTTCTTTCCATGGAAGACATTTGAAGAAAATGATCTTCAGAAGCACCAAGAAACATGCTGTCTTTGAACAAAGCTGTTTCTTGAAGCCAGGCACAATTTGCTGACCTACTTTGGACAAGGATTTATTGACATCCCAGGCTGCAGCCTGCCTCCTGTGCCACTGCCAGGAGAGCTTGAAGCACAGCTGCTGACGGGACAGTGATTAATTTGATTGTCACCAGCACAGCTCTGAACATAAGGCTTTCTCAGAAGGCACATAAAAGGAAACTCAGTGCAGTCACTTGGATTTTGCTGCTAAGGGAGTGAGGGAAGCAGAAAAACAAATCCCAGCATAGTTTAACAAGGCCAGCCCCTCCAGCACAGGGCTCTTTGCACCGGTCTTCTGTCACTGGGAGAGGTACAACCAGCCAGGGGAGGCTCACAAGTAATACACTGCACAGTTGGCCCTCCAGTGGGAATGAAGCCATCATTCCTCATCCAGAGTGCAAAAAAGACAGTAGGATCACCAGAAGCAGGATGTCATGGAGATGTCCCCCTGCCTTACCAGTCTACCAATTGGTTATTTCAAACCACCTTGACTGTTTACACTGGTAGACTCTACAAAAGTGTGCTGTATAGACACGTGATAAATGCAACATGATGAAAAGTGTGAGTTTTTGGATTGTGATGGGCTGTACTTTGTGCACATCAGTCACGGCTCGTGATCTAGGCAAAAACATCATGTGGGTCAAAGGGTCAGCCACTGTCAACTGGAAGTGATTTCCCTTACAAGCTACAGGGGTCTGCAGGTGAAATTATTACAAGACTGCAACTGCTTGGTGGCAACTGCAATGACAGTACAATGGAGACCTCTGTAATTTGTAATTTCTAACAAAGACATTTGCAATACTTAATCAAAGGACCTGGTTCCTTATCATCTTGTACTTTTTGTCATCATTTGAAACCTTCCCGAAGAGACTGTACAACGTTGCAAAGTCATAATCTCATTTAATTTCCTGGTAGTGTTTAATTTACTCTCATTGTTTTGCACAGCACTGCTCCACTGGAATATGATGGAAATACTTTCCCATCATTTTGTGCATCCTAACTTTGTAGCACAAAACTGTGCCACAGACACATCTGAAGGAGGTACCATGATGGGGGTCAGAATAGGTTTCAAAACCCTGTAATGATTAAAGGAAGACTCCTAAAACCAGGCCAGTCCAAATCCCTTGATATGGAGTCACATGTACAGAAAAAGCGCTTCCTACGGAACAACCAGACATTATCCATGTTTTAGCTAAAGTTCAAAAGAAAACAGCTGAGTAGCAAAGTATTGGGGATAAAATGTTCTCCAGTGGTACCTACTTAAAATGCTCACCGGAGTAGAGGTGTAAAGACAGCCCTTAGCACAAACCAGGTCTGTGGCAGGGCTCTATGTTCAAGATGAAAATGGGGAACAGTGTCTTGGAAAATTACCACAAACTCTTATAATAAATAAATAATAAATATTTTTTTCCATGGATTATTTCAGCAAACGTGGGGGGAAAAAAAAAACAACAACTAAAAAAACCAAGAAGGAATAAGACTATATTTTAATAATTGTAATACCTGAAAGGCATCACATGATTAGACTACTCAAATCTAGTCTAATTCATCAAAGAGTGGGATTCATTTTAAGTGTGAAAGTATGTATGTCTCTATGACAGAGTTAGTCCATAGCGTTTACCACTTTTCCTATACCTCTGAGTGAGAACTGCCTGCAATTGTGTGAGAGAAGCTCCTTGTTTACCTTACTGGTTTAAGATAACAAATTGGCTTCCTCCTGAAATTCAAATTAAAAAAACTATAATGCCGTTCTTTGTAAATTATTATCGAAAGATAAATCAAAAATCATTTTCCAATTAGAGTTTTTCAGGATTCTTTTCACTGTAAATCTTGGGTTTCTCAGGGAGCAATTATTATGCAAGCAGTGATGTTTTGAACAAAGGCTTCAACAGTGCTGGATAAGTTCTCCAACTATTATTCATTCTATTAAATGGAATTTTGAATTTATAGAAACTCCATCTCCTCTGTCTGGCACAGTTTCCTTACTACAAATTAATTTCCTGCCAAAAATGGTTTGCTTTTATCTGATGATCCAAAGCAGTTCCTTTGATAGAAAAGTCAAATAATTTAATCATTTATTTATTAAACTAACCCACAATTTGGAAGAGGAAAAAGAAGTAAGCAACTTGTTTCTTGCAAGTCTTCAAAGATGACGCACACTGTTATAATAACCAGATACTTGGAGTTTGCTCAAGTTGTTACCATTTAGACATTAAGATCTAATTAAATCTTCTAATTTTATGGAAGATCTTTTGGCTGATTTCCCAAAAGCATGCAAGGCTCCTATGGAAAACCAGGTAGTGGGAATCTGTCCAAGTTTTTTCCTTACAGTAATATCATTTGGGGAACACAAGCCTAGCTGGGGGAAAATATTCAAAGTTACAGTCAGTGTAACCACGTACAAAACCACAAATACATTAGATTCAAAATGAAAGGTGTGCATTACTTCCTTGATTTTATTTATTTATAAACGTGGCACTATGTTTGTGTTCTGTCAAGTAGAGTTTGGTGGTGACGCAACATGGACTCTCTCCGAAGTCTGAATACCTCTTTAACTCCAATAAACAGTCTTACATTTTCCTACAGTCCAGTCTCCCCCACAAAACAGTTACTGAAAGTGACCTGTCTCCAATTAACATGTCTCTCTAAATCACGGCCTCACAGTAAGAACTCAGTGAGCTCAGCTTTTATAGAGCTGAAGCTATCCTGCAGACAACACCGAGATTTGGCAAACATAAAACATGGGCAATGACAGTTAAGTGTGGAATTTAGTTCTTCACATTACCTCTCCTTCACACATCACTGTCTTTTCCTTTAACACTGGAATCAAAGACCAGAAACAGAACTCTCTAAGTGGGCTGCTAATTCCCTGAACACTGATAAGAGTGCTGTGATCTAAACTAGATGCACAGTGATCCATTGGTTATACAAGCAACTTAAAATATATGTCATAACTAAACTAAGGCTTTGCTTCTACCTCTGCTTTGCTTTTCAGATTAAACTCTTGTTTCTTTTCTGTATGTCCTATAATCTAACCCTGAACTAAGCCTGTTAATGATTTTTACATCTTGTGTGTTTTCTCAGTTTCCTAAAATTGTTTTTCAAAAGTGATGCAAACTTCCAAAGAGACTAGAGGTTTAAATCTGCAAGGAGAGATGTAAGCAAAGGGAACACCATTTGAAAGAGAAAGTAGAATATTTATATATCCTGGCAATATCCAAGAAGACATATAAGGTTAATGGGCTCAAAACACGGCATTAAAAAAAGAAAGAAAAATAAAGGGAGAGAAATTGTTTCCCAACAGGTTGCCATCTCAGACTTCTAACTGTAGGCCAATCTCCACTTCTCTTCAATCTTAAAATGATTTGCCAGTTGTCTACTTCTTGCTCTATGTTCAACAGATGAAAATCAAGAGAATAGAGCAGATGCTTAATTAAACTATTTCCTTTATTTTACATAATTTTCAGTTTCTGACCTTCTTCTGAATGTCTTTACAGCATAATCATAATATAATCCTCTTTCTTCCACATATTTCCTCCTTTTTGGCACTCTAAGTCCATTTCATCCAGGTTCCATCCCATGGTATCTCTCTTATTCTTAACAGGCTTAAGCTCATGAGTTTTGGTTTAAGAAGCTTCACTATGCTTCCTGGAAAGATCTGTTTCACCGGCAGTTCCTATCTTCACCTATAGCTATTTGATTCCTACAGAATGGGTGGCAACCGTTCTAAGCACTCACAAGCAGATTTCTGCTGTCTGGTGAATACTCCTATGTTTGAAGACTCTTAACATTACAGCAAAAATTGCTAGATTGTGTAAAACAAAATTGCTCCCATTATGATCACTTTAAGTTCTGTGAAAGTTTGTTGTTAAAATGGGTTGAAGCATTTAGCCCAATCTCAAACGGTTTCCTGCAATACTGGCACACCTTTGCTTTGTGGAAAGTTTACAGAACAGCTATTTTCTTGGTCTGTTTATAAATCCATTGCAAAACAAAAATATTCCACAAATCACCCTCCTCCAGCCAAGCTCTCTACAAAGCCAATTCAGTTCAAGTGTTCAAATTGCTGTCAATAGGAAGTGATGACAATGTACTGCAAAACTCCAAGGAACTATAACCAGATAAGAGCTTCTTTAATGGGTACACGCACTAGAGGAACAGTAGTAGCAGTCTGTAATAATTGTCACTTCTGATCACCATGGGAACCAAACTGAGGTCTACTTTGCTGAAAACACATTAGTAGTGACTCACCTAATGCTTGGGAAGCATGATTATTGAGAATCACTAGACTTGTGTGGGTGACAGAGAACAATATGCCAGTGCATTACTAAAAAAAACTGATGCCATTTCAACCATACTCGGATACAGCAGATTCCTTTGCTAGAGATGCAGGATGAAATCAAGTAAATTAGTGCTTCGTGTTTGCGTTCAATAGTAACAAACTCCCTCTTTATGTTCTGCAATTTCAGCCCTGTGTGGCCTCTACTACAGAAGATTTTGCCCTAGTGAACAATGTCCTCTATGTAACATTATACAGTGGGCTTTACCAGGGTGTTCACAACCTTCTTAGCGATGGATTTAATGTTTGAGCAACACAGAAGTTTAGGGCTATGTTACATCCTCTGAACCGTACTGCAGGGTGGATGATACACAAAAGATGGGCAGTATCTCTACCTGGGCCATGCAGAGACTGAGAAGTTGAGTTCTCATAACTAAGCTCCAGGTTCTGCACTCAGAAGAAAGCAAAATAAATAAACTGTCCCATTAGTCTAATTCAAAGGGCCAGCTGTCTTCTAGGTGGAACAGTTTGTGCAATGAGATAAAAATTATCATCTAAGAAGAAAGCAGAGCTGTTTTTTCAACAATGGCAAATAGCAGTTCCAAACCCATGCTTAGGAGGCCTAGAATTTTTCAAGATTCAGTTGTCTGAACTATGTGACTTCCAGAATAATATTTCTAGGCTTTGAAAGAAGCCCAAATTGGAGATTCTCGGATTATGAAGCCTGAATGCACTGTCTTTGCTAAAGTACTTTCAGAGTGCAAAGATACTTCCTCAGCTTTGGCTGGAGAAAGAATGACAACATGAAATAGCATTACAGCCCAGCATTTAAATGTTCCTTCTTTACACATGGTAATTCAAGAAGTTTTGACAAAACCAAAGTATATTCCTTCATAATAATAACTCTGCCATTCATTGGCGTCTTGTTTTCTGTTTGTAATTCTCACACTCTACCATCAATGAGAGCCTAAATATCTTCCAAGGGTGCCATCAAAAACACAGCTGTCAGCTGGCATATGGGGTTTCTTTTCTGTTTCTCCTCCTTACAGAAATATCCATAGATTGTAAGTTTTGAAAGAGTATGCTCATTTCTCCAAGAAATGTCATGTGCTTTCATTAACAAAGGCTTAGGAAATGTTACTCACCGTAGAGGAATTCTGACGAGCAGACAACAAGTTTCCTAAGTGGAACTTAGCCAAGACAGAATACAGTGCACTGTCATAAAGTTTCTACATCTCTGGGTCCTTGGGAAAACAAAACACAAGAGTTTGCTAATCTAAGGCAAGGCCATGGCCCGAGCTCTCCAGTTTGACAAGAACAGCCATGCATGGCATATATAAATGTAGATCTACTACCGAGGTTTCAGCCCATGATACTGAAACAAATGTCAGTTGATGGTAAGATTTTGTGGTGAAAAGATGCAGAAGAACAAAAATACTAAGAAAGAAACCACTGTACCTCCCACACATTCAGAGGACAGTCATTATGAGTGTAGTTCTGCAGTGTGCTCACCTCTTTGTAACTTTGCACAAGAAAAATCAGGTGAAGACATATAACAAGAAAAAGTTTCAACTGCCAACAAGTTTCAACTCCTTCATCTATTCCATTACTAGCTCCTGGGAGTTATTCTTAAGGACCACTTTGTTTTCTTCTCAATCCACATAAGGGGCTTCACATGTCAGTAGCAGAACAAGAGCTGTTTGAATACAGCCTAGTCCATTTTTTCAATGATTCTTCCTAGCAAGGGAAGGAGAGACTACTGGTGTCTATCACTGGCTTTTCTAACTATGAACTATGATGTATCCTAGGATGACTGGTTTCTTGTTGGTTTCTGGGGTGATGTTTTTGTTTGCTTTGTTGTTTACTTTCCTCTCAGAAGGCAATCATGTTTAGGTCAGACATGGGCCTTGCTGTTCTCTGCTAAACAAACTTGTGCTGTTCAAACCATTTAGATTGTTTGATGTGAGCATGTGATATGGAAACTATATCCTTATGCTACGGTAAGCTGGCAGGAAGCAAAACTGCACATTCATTACCCAACACTATTTGAATTCTCATCAGCTTGGCTTGTAAGAACAGGAGTCTGCAGATGTAATTTACAGACATTCATTCAAAATAAGATATTTTAACACCAACTCTTAATCTTCAAGTTATTTCAGCTTGGTTCTAGGTTGAAGGGGTCAAGTATGAACTGTATATTTGTCTTTAGGAACTGGAAGCTTGAAAGCATTGATAAACAAAGCAGCAGAGTTCTTGAGAACAGAAGAATATATTGCCACAAACACTGAAAAGGTGGCAAGCAAGAAGTATTTTTATATACTTCTCTTTACAGATTCACACTAACTTCTGCTTGTTTTAAAGCTGAAGCTGCAAGAAATCCTGGTCAATAATTCCTTAATAGGTCCTAATAGGTCTTAATAGGTATTGGTGAAATGGGCAGGGATTTCAGGGTTCTCAATGTTTCATTTGATGCCCAAAGTTTCTGTTTTGCTTTTGCTTTTTATTTTAAGAGTGGTCATTAATCTACTGTAATACATGAACGTGGTGTGGATTTTTTTTTTTTTTTTGAGTGTCTTTTTTAAAAAGTTTGACTAACAAATTATGCAAAAAAGTTTTAATAACTATGATACTTGTTCAGCCATATGGAAATGTGCCATCTCATTTGATTTATGTTTTGTGAAAAACCTCCAGGTGTTATAAACGCAATGAATTTTAACCCCCCCATCCATAACTTCATATATTAATATACTGAAATAATAACAACACCGATTCCGCTTCTATTTGCCATACTTGAGATGATAGGAGATAAGCTGGAGACACAAAACTCAAATAGTGATCAAACTCACTACATTTCAAGAGGACACAACACTGGATTTTAGTCAGCTATCTCTGACAATACCATCACTTCACGCTCACCCAAGGAAATGTCACTGTAATATCACATAGAATGGAAAACATAACATAATAGTTTGGTTCATTCATTTTTTTTTTTCACATAATGCTTTGTAAAAGAGATAAAGCTGAAGAAAATGAAAACAGACATACATATTACGATGAGATACACTGTCCTTATTTAAACAAATTTCCTTGAGCAATGTATTTTTAAAAGGTGAAAATTAAACGCTAGTATTTGTTTCAATGTAAAAAATTGATGATAGTAATTATAAACAGCCCAATGGTCTTTTGCCTATTTCATCCTAGTAAGTTTTCACAGCAAAAATAGTAAAATTTGCAATATTACCAAAAAGATGCAAATCTGTTAAATATATTACTCTGAAGTAAATTAACAATTAATTTATAAGAATCTACCATAGGAACTATTAAGTGGACAGTAACAATGATTTCCTATATAAAATCTATTAAAAATTTTTGGAGAAAATATATGAAGCGCAGCTGATAGCTGATGAAATCTGCAATATGGCCACAGAGAAATAACTTGCAGATCATCAAAGTTAGCTCTTGTGCAGAAACATCCACCATGAGTTCATTAATTTCATTTTTCCTCTGGAGAACAGCAGGAGGTTTCCATAATGCAATCACCATAGCAAACAGATTCAACGTTGTACTTTAAGCTTTACCCGTAGTTGGAACTTGCAACAGTTTAGGTTTTTTGGTGTTCTGATCTGTCTTGCTCTCTGGAAGGCTACGTAAATATAAAAATCTTCAGCAGAAAGACAACTCTCTCTAAAGTACTGGTAACTGGTCTTTGCAGAAAACTGCTAAAAACATAAAAAAATTAGGGATAAAAAGATTTAGCTGAACTGGTAAAGCTACACAGCAACACTACACATAAAGCAGTTAACAAGGTCTCTGTTAGAAGCTGCGAGATTTGAGGTCTATGCCCTCCAGACACACATGGACATAAACTCTTGGAGCTCACTGGAGAGTTTGCAGCTTTAAAGGTGCTCATCTGTGCACACTTTATATAGCCTGAATGAGCAGTCAAGCTTTGATTTTGTACTAATGAAGTCAAAGAGCACTTTCAACTATTTTGAACAGCAAAAAAAACTCAGATTCCTGTCATCAACCATAAATGGAAAGCCCCAACCTCAATAAGGTGCCTCAGCCTTGCTCAGATCAAGTATGATTGTGTTCCTGGCTCAGACACCTTAGCCAGGTTACTGAAATTAGCATGATAACCAACTTCAGTTCTCTCTGCATGTGATGGTAGAGCCCATGGAGCTTTAACTATTCACGTGATTAAAGACAAACAGTATAGTTGTGTTCTGCTCTACTGGCTCTGCATCCAGCACCAAGACTAGTCCATTTCTGGTTCTTCATCTAAATTAAAAAAGGGTTCTCCTTTTTATAGGAAATGTTAGCAGCTTTATAATTCCCCCTCAACCCCAGCTGAACACCACACAGTTCTCTTTTGAAATTTGTCTATGTTTATTCAGCTCACATTCTGAATGGAAGATAAGCTTGCTTTGTTTTTCTTCAGACACGAATCTGTAAAGGACTTCTTTTAATTAGTCATCTAGCTGAAACTCTTAAGTCAGATCCTATAAATTTTCACTGTCCTATTCTGGCCAGCAGAGCACAAAGCACCACAGATTCTCTCCTAACAGGAGGAAAGCTCTACTGTGTCACATACTGGGTGCCTCACGTTGATCTGCAAGGTGGCCCCAAAAATAGAGAATTATTTGACTGCAGGGATCATGCTGGTCTACACGCTGCTGAGTGCACCGTACCCTTACCAGGTCTCATACTGCTGCAGGGCCATCTGCAGTGTGGTTGAAGGGGAGTACAAAGACATTTAATTTTTATTCATACACAAACAGGAAAAGATGCAGTTTCCTTGCTTCACACTTCTCACCAAGAAGGTGGCTTTACCCACTGCTTCGTTTTTGTCTGCACCACTGAGACCTGACCCTGGTTCAGCCCTTAGAAGTCACAGTGCAGCTGGAAACACAAGCAGCTGATCCCCAGACTCCTGACAGAAGCTCACAGAGCATCACCACCTGGTTTCCTTCCAGCTAACACATCCCAAACACGTAACAAAAATTAAGCCATACTGACCTCCAGCTGTTTTGATCTTGATGTGTTTATTTCCTTCTAATCTTAATAAAACAAAAGGTAAAGAAGGTTAAAACATTGTAACATATCAGTCATTTAGAACACAGTTAAACAAAGCATGCAACAGAGGTACTACAGTTCCAAAGACAGCTGCTATTATTATGACAAACAGTGTTATTTTTCTTCATTTTTTGTTTTGCAGCACATTTTGGAAGCTCCAGTCAGTGACTTAGCTCTGTGGTGTACATAAGTGACAGCAGCATTTTGTTGTATTAAATCTGAAAAATATTACACAATCTTATAAATATGTTTATGGCTTGTCTAGTAAGCACTTGTAAACACAATGTTTTATTTTCCACTGTTTAAAAATATAGCGTGGAAAAAACACAGTTTGCATGAGGTATCATATAAGAACAGAAGCAAACCTGAAAGCAAGCACTCACTAACCGTTATTACTGAATTTCACCACAGTGCAAGTAAACATCTTCAAATCTAAAAATAGTGCCAAGGCTCTGCAAGCGCATATATCATCGCCTCTTAATCCTAACAGTATTTCGTTTTCCTTGAATTCACACAGCACTCAGAGCACAGAGGAGCTGTTCAGAAGACAATGTACCACCCTGGCACCATCTGCTCTATGATTCTTCTGCAGAAGTTGGCATGTTATAACTTAAATATACTGGAGCAATCACTTGGATGATTACAAACAGCCCCACTGCCTTAAGAGGGCCCAATGCTGTTAAGTCTGTCTGAAGTAATCACTGACTTTTAAAGGATAAATACATCTTACTAGATAAAATTTAACCAAGAAAGTGGGAGAAATGCAATGCACAACTTTTCAATACCTTTTGGTGCAGTTTTCGTCTGACTGGAAACCATGGCAGCTGCATCTGATGGCAGACCAACATACACACCCCCATAGTTCCTGATATGAAGAAAAAAATTAACAGACAAAAGAGCTTAAGTGAAACACTTGTTCCTATAGCATAAACATCACACAGCAGTGTTACAAAGATCATGGATGGTCAGAGAGGATGCACAATCAGAGTAGTCCTTCTTTCCCAAGGCTGCAGGAAAGGTTCTTCTTCTAGAGAAGAGATTGATAGTCTGATATCAGAGCACAGCCCTGAGACCACAGAAGCACCTCCTTCTAACAATGCATGCCAACTAAACAACACTTGACCTCTCCTGATTAATGAATAGGATCTACACTCCCTTCTCAGGGCCATACTTGGAGTACACTGTTAGTAGGAAGATGCATAAGAGTATTAGATACTTCTGTAGTCCAACCCTCTCCCTTTCATGATCATAAAGAATGTATTTCCAGCTCTGAGGCCAGTATAAAAAGCAGGGACTGATGCAAGGAGATGGAAACGGGGTCCTTAAGAATCTCTGCCATACTTGGAGCTACTAATAGAGTAGCTTCTCTGACCCATTAGGTACTAAATGAATCATATCTCCTCCTGTTCCTGGGTCTCTGAGTTGTTTTCTGATTTGTTTGATGACAGAGTTGTACTTCCTTCAATTTCCAGCCCAACAGAGATCTCCCACTGATGCTAATGCCATCTGTGGCCAGGCTTTGTGATGGCAGAGGCCACTGGCCATCATGGAGCAGATTACTTACCACTGTGAGATATGTGCTCCTCTTTGCTGAAAAGCTCCTTTCCCCAACACGTTAACAGTGGTGAGGATCACCAATTTTGTGTTTTGCATGAGATTTCCTACTCTTTTTTGCTTTGCTCTGATGGTGTCAGTGGGAAATAATATGATGCATATCCAACAGCAAAACTCACTGCAGTCAATTCCAAATAAAGCAAGTACAGCACCTACCTCCTTTTGTCATCATCTGATACAGATTCTTCTGCTCTGTAACACCAAAAAACGTAAAACATATTAGCAAATAGTTTATTTCAGATACTCCGACCATCAGGGTAGATTCAGGGGCAAAGGAAGAAGGATGTTATTACTGATCCCAGTTTCATTCAGATCATCCACAATGCTATAAAGTACTCACAAAGGCAAAAAAAAGAATGACAATTTTCCAATCTAATGTATGGAAGAAAGAAAAGGATTGAGAACAGATGTAGCTTACTTGCCTTGATTCCCTCCAGTGATGCCTGAAAGTAGGCTTGGGAACTGAAGCTGGTAAATAAATATATTTTCTGATTGAGTCCCCACATAATGCACAACAACATAAAATCTCTGAACAAACAGAAACAATTATGGGCTGTTCTTCAGAGGAATGGATGAGAGTGGACATCCATGGCATGAGAATGAGGATGAAGAAACCTTCACAGTAGCTGCGCCAAAATATGTTCTGGAACTCCTATATAAAGTGAGGTACTGCTACTACTGAAGTCAGAGTTGTTTCCCAGTCAACAAATTGCAAAATTAATCCCTTATAAATGGGCAATCAGTTTTCTTTTACTGTCTGGGTAAAATGGATAAGGAGTCACTGAAGTTTGACTACCCCTCCTTGAAATACTGCCCAGTGTAATTGAACCAGGGCAGAGGGTAAAGATAAGAAGGCAAATGTGGTTAAAAAAAAAAAAAAAAAAGATAAAACTGTCAGTGTGATTCCTTGTGGGTAATAGTACCCGTGCTGAGCTCTCAGCCTGTGCCTCAGCATCAGCCTTCACCCAAAGTATTCACTCACCTTTGACTAAATATTTAGACTTTGAACTCTGCTGCTTGCACAGGTTGTTCAGCTGGATAATGTCACCTGGATATCCTCATCTAGGGAGAAATTGCCTGAATTATGGGGGCAATGAAAAGATACTCCCCATCATCAGCTCAGCTATGAATTTCTAGTCTGCTCTCCAGACAAAAAAACTGAGGGCTGACTGTTACCCACTTAGTGCTAACTTCATATTGAAAGGATTTTCTGAACAAGGATACGGAACAATAGTGTATAGCATTTCTTATTGTAATTTATTTATTCTGAATTGTAGGTGTAATAAGGGAGAAAGTGTAGATTTGACAAGGGGTAGGAAGACTCTACAGAAGGATCTGAGCAGGCTGGATCAATGGGCTGAGGCCAACCATATTGGGCTTCAGTGGCCCTGCCTATGGCAGGGGAGTTGGAGCTTGATGATCCCTGAGGTTCCTTCCAACCCAGGCCATTCTGTGATTCTGTGAAAACTAAGTGCCAGGTCCTGCACTTCAGTCTCAAAAACCCCATGCAGTGCTACTGGTGTGGGGAAGAGTGGGTGGCAAACTGAGTGAAGGAAAAGGATCTGGGATTATTAATAGACAGCCAACTGAATCAGAAACAGTGCAGGCAATGAGACCCAGAGGTGACTGTCCCTCTGTACTCAGCACTGGTGAGGCTGTACCACAAATACTGTGTTCAGTTCTACAAGACACAATCTTAAACGCAGGAAGATGTCCCTTAGATCTCAGTCAGTGGTCTCCTGGGTAGATATCTAGTTTTGTGTTACGAATTAGAAATAATCTCATACATCATCTTTGTATGCAACAGAGCATCCCAAACTGCCCACTGTGCTAATGCACAGTGAATAGGGACACACAGTTCTTAACATTTAAGTACTCTGCAGTTTTCCCAAAGGATAGTCACAAAGGGCATCCCACTGGCTGCTGTGTTCGCCCATGTCTTATCACTCAAGAGACAGTGACCAACAGAATCACAGAACTGTAGGGGTAGGAAGGGACCTCAAGAGATCATCAAGTCCAACTCCCTGCTCAAATAGGTTCCCTACAGAAGGTTGTACAGGTACGCATCCAGATGGGTCTTGAATGTCTCTGGAGAAGAAGACTCCACAACCCCTCTGGGCAGCCTTACTGTCTGGCCTCCTTGCCAGTGCTGTCTAGATGGGTAAGAAGCATATCCTCTGCCACCACCCAGCCTCAGCTCTCCTGTACATAGCCAGGAAAAAGCAAAGACCCCTTTCCTTGAGGGCTGCACGAAGCTGCTTTATCACTCTGCCCAGTTCCAGCAGAAGAAAGAAGAAAGCATATGCATATCAATGGGTATGAGTGAACTGTGTATTTTTAGTTTTTAAAAAATGACCACACTTTTAGAAAGGAACTTTGGGTGCCAGGAGATCACAAGCAATCATTTCTGCTGAACCAACCAAATGTATCACTGGATTATCTCATACAATTGGAAACAGTTTCTATAATCCAGATTAACCATTATCCAGAGAAAAGAATCCTTTTAAAGCACTGACAAGTTCAAGAGCGGCTCAAAGCCTCTAAAATGGAGTTTTAAGAATAACAATCAATATTGTCCAACAGGAAATTAATGTCAATGTTTAAAAAAGCTTCTACCAGGCAACAGGCTATTTTGTTCTGTTCTAGCAATGCTCCGTTATGGGGCATCACTGAGCAATTACTGTCATTCTCTCACCAAAACAAATTGCCAGGACTATGATTAAGCAGGCTAGGTTTTTTAAACATTTTGCTTTCCTCCTTTTCTGTTAATAGCTACAAATCAAAGTCTGATTTTAAAATGCCTTTTCTCTTGAATTCTCAACAGCAAATATAGTCAGAACAGGCCACAGTTCTTGGACTGGGGACGACTGGGTTCAATCTGCCATACTGCTATTACTGAGCAGAGGAAGAACAGAGAAGTGTTCAGAGGAAAATAAAGAAAAATGTGGACACTGTCATTGTGGAAGAAGCCATTTTCCACCTTTCCAATGGCTCATTTCTAAGCAGCATGGGAATGAGTGCTGCTGTAATTTACATATTACACATTTTCACACATCTCTTGCCTTCATAAGCTGTAATCTCTAGTTTAAGGCACCATTTTGAAAGGTGCACACTAATTTCAAATGTTTAAGTTTCTAGGAGCCAGCTAAGGCCGATGAAACCACATGCTGCATGAGCAGAGGTGGCCTCAGGGAGTGAGCTGCAATGGTGACACTCAACCACACGGGAATGGGAATGAAAGGCAATTCCCTTGGCTTCAGCAGCATTCTAATTGCTGCATCTCCCAGGCTCATTCTCTCCTCTCCTAAGTCTCTAGCTTCCCCTTCTGACAATGATGAAAGAAGAATCTAGCATAAAAAAATAACCTATAAATATCTCATTTTGCATCAAAGAGCCTCGATTTATGGTGTCCTCCAGGCAGAACAAGTTATGATATGCCTTTCTGCATCAGGAATGGATGGTAACTCAACAGGCTGGACCAGACAGTCTGATGTGCTTTGCACTGATCTGATGCTGTGCCACTGAACCTTCCCTTAGACACTGTTGACATCTGCTGCAAAGGGGCTGAGATCACATTTTTCAGCAGGTGACGTAGGTGGAGTCCTGCAATGGTAGGCAGATTTAACAGCAAATTCACATAACAGCATCTATTTTCAGCTAGAATAAATGTTTGTTTTGGTAAGGATTTGTCTGTCCCAAGAGGATTCCTGTCACTCTCTTAAGTCTGAAAAATATTCTTGGTTATCCAGCTGTCAGTTTTCACATCCATCAGTCCTGAGTCCATTTGACAACAAACAAGCTGCCATTTTTCACATAGTATTTTAAATATAAAATGACAGGCATTCATTAATTCATCCCATCCACATTTTTCTTATCTCAGGTTCTATGGCTTCCACGTTGAGCTCCAGCATTACGCAGACTCCTTCTAGTAGTGCTCAGCAGTGCCACCAGAAATGACTCATTAAACTTTGCACAAGTGACAGATTGTGGACTTTAGTTTCCCAGTATTTCTTCAGACCAAGGGACAGGGACTATCAACTTGCATTTGATGGATTTCTCCCCAGTATTTTGAAACAGGCTAAAATTATTGTATCCTTTCCTTCCTACTGCTACTAATCTTCATCTGAACCTAGGTACACTTTCAACAGGCATCACGCTGTTTCACAGTGTATACTTTATCCCATCCATATCCAAGCTTTCCCAGATAGCACAACATCCTTCCTTTAGAAGCATGGCAAATGAGTTGCTTGAAGCTGGCTAACAGGTTCACCAGTTATTTGTAGGCTGGAGTATACAGGAGGAGATCACATTCCCAGATAACACGCCCTTTTTGTTCTGACCTCAATCTCAAGAGAACTTAGCATGGACAATTATATCATCATCTTGATGTTAATAGTGGAGCAATCCAAGGTCAAACATGCCCAACCTAAGGCCCAGAGGACCAAGCAGCTTCCTTGTGGTCACCGTTAGGCTCTGAGCAGGATCCAGCCCTCCTTCTATCCACCCAGCTGCTGGAGTCCCACTGGGCTGCCCTTAGGAAACAACAAATCTTCTGAATTATAATAACCAAATCCTGTGCTGAAAAGTGGGATACAAGTGAGAACACACCTAAACGCTTTTCTTGACCACAGTAGACATGACTGAAATCATTTCTTTTTTCCGGTGTTCTACTTCTGTTGTAAAAATCCGCTGCTAAATATTAGGATGACTGATCTAGGACTTTTCTGGTTATACTGCTGTTTCTCTCTTTAACAGATCTGTGTTTCTAAAGCTTGACTAGAAGACTCAATCATACTATTACTCACACACGTAGTTCTGCTGGCTCCACTGTACTTATCTGAATGACTAATAGTTCCAGGACCAACTCTCTTTCTTGCAGTCAGCACTAAAAATTTGTTTTTTTTCTAACTTATCTTACTTCTTTGAAACTTGACAGATTATCTGTCACTAAGTATAAACACAGTTCTACTTGTACCTATAGCTTCAAACACAGAAATGTCTACTACATTCTTAATTTAACAGTGCTTGCAGATTTTGAAATGTAAAACTGTTACAGAACAAAGAAACAGAGGCAGCTGTACATAGTCATTTAAATTACCTAAATTGCTTGAACAACACAAAAAGACCCTAATATAAATTGAAAGCAGTGTTTTTGGATACATAGGAGTGTTGAGCGCATGAATGCTGCAGGCTATATCAAAAGGGCTTCCTCATTAGCCTGCCTTTCACAATTTGCTTATTGTCTGAGACTGAAAATCCAGATTACATGGGTAACACAAATCTCAAGAGTACCTGTCACAACAGCACTCATCTCACAAGTGAGACTCATCTCTAATTCTAAGCCATGCTCTCTAATAGCAAGGACAAGCCTTGCTACTATCTGTGTTTAAGATCTTCTCTCCAGGTGTTTATCTGACTTGACAGCTCTTATTTCTATACCGGGATTCTTCTGTTCAATTACAGTGGACATTTAAAATGAACTAAGTAAAACCAAAGATTGTTCCTGTTGCACAATATGAAAATATGTTCCCAGTTCCTCAGTCTCAAACTCCAGAGGCAAATAATAATTTTATAATTATTAGATATATAATCATATGAATATATATATCTATTCATATATTCGTATAATAATATGAAATAGAAGGCAAGATCTTGGGATGCCTTCTTTAGTGCCTCCTTTGATAGCAAAATAAATTTATGTCTGATTAAATCTGTCCCTGCACGTTTTGCATCAGCAAATGAAAAACAGGCTGAGAAGGGCTTATCTTTTGCTGCAGCTTTTCTGAAAACCAGAAACTGGCAACAGAGGTTCAGGTCTTCATGTTTGGAGAAAAACAGGACGGGTAGGGCTGTCCCCTGCTCCTCAGCAACAGGGATAAGAGACAGAAAGAGGAATGATAGATGCTATCTTTAGTTCAACGAAGGCGAAGGCCGTAACTTTCCCTAGCAAATGAGGCCTCACTTGCAGCTAGTTAGGAAGGTGAGTGTTTTTAAAAGGAAGTCTGGATGGGTCATCAGGTCTCTCACAAAGTGGGAACGTTTGCCTAAGTATGTCATTAAAATCTCCCATAGGGCTGAGTGGAAGCTCATGTTTCATTTCCTACAATGGCATGCCCCTTTCTGAAAGTTGTACTGGCACTTGACAGGGAAGAATAGTCTAAAGTTGTATGACCAGCTAAGGAAGACAACTTTCTCAATGGAAGCTGAGAAATAGAAAGGGAATGAGTCTGTAGAATAGTAAACATGAGGTGGTCTTGAGGAGATGGAAGTTGTCACCAATGGCAATAAACACCTGACAGTGTTGATAATACACTAGGAGCCAGATGAATCATTACGTGTGACTAAATCCAGTGTAAGACTAGCAGGACTGAAAATAAGTCCAGGGTTACATGTTTGAAAGGGCAGAGCAAGTACTTACGCATCTTTAGTAGTCCCTGTGGCACCTAGAATAAAAAGGAAAAAAAAAAAAAGTATGTTTACAAGATAATGGCATAATCCTTAAACCAGCTGATCGTACAATCAGCATTTTCCTCTCTGCCTTAAACAACTTCCTTACGCATACTGTAAAAGAGAGAGAGATATAGCTTTTTGGTGATTTTTGTTTGCTACAAAGTCACTGCTGCTAACCAAGCAGTTACTCCTAAATGCCTACTTATTTTGAGCATGTGCCATTTGATCCAGCTGCAGATTCAGCACTACATGTGTAAATGCTGCTCCATTCTTCCTGCCAGACGAATAGAGCTTTATAAAACAACGAGACAGAAACACTATAAACACTGGGACACAATCCACCCAAAGCTCCAGTCACCTAAACAGATCAACCACCCTGTAATTCATCTTGATGTTTAACTAAAAGCAAAAAGACAAAAGCCACAACTGGGCTGCCTGATCTCAGTGATCGATTTTTTGGTGACTCAGATGCTTCTTGCTGGGAGAGGCACATTCACTCAAAGTATGAACTCTTTCTCATTCCTCCCAAGTTATTAATGCCATGTTGCTATTACTGGTATGTCATTCACCTGAGTAATCAGCAAAATATCCCTCCTACTAATTACAATGGCTAGAGTAGACACTAGAAAACGTTTCACTTCTCTTTTTTCCCTTCCTCTCAGTGTTTAGCAGGAAGATGGCATCTGAGCTCACCCTGCAGAAACTACAGTTATCAAGCCAATAGATACTAGCGTTGTTTTTTTTCAGTTCTGCAACTTCATTTCTTGTAAAACTTTTATGTTTGCCGCTGAAAAATATCCATAAGATGAGCAAACATCTTTCACTTTACTCCAGTATGTGATAATGTGCCTTCTGCACCTTGACTTCAAAGCCAAAGAGGAAGAGAACTTTCAAGGCCTGCATGGCCTTCCAGCACTGCCTACCTGAATGGATAGCTGGAACAGAAGGAAACATCCCTCCTTACTGCTAACTCTTAAGGATAATTTTACTCCTGTTATCCCCTTTGCCTAGCAACATACAGACTCATCTTGTATGACCATACAGATTTCTTCGAGAGTCAGCAAAATCTCAGTTCTGCTGTATGTAAGGCAGCTATCTGAGACTTCTGGTTCTGGAGATGCATCTACACGGTATTACACAGAAAGCCTCCAAATTAATTGTGTCCAGATGGAAGGCTGGCACTGCAGCACCACATGCGAGCCCGCTCTCGGCTGACGTGGGAAGATGTCTTTTGCTACTACCCAGGCTAGTTGGCTCCGAGTCAGCCCAGCTGTGTGTCTCCAGGATACCACCCTGCACATCGAGACAGAGCGCAGGCATCCACAACAGCTCAGACAGCAGATATTTTGGGAAGTCTAATCACATTGCTGTAGGCAGCAGGATTTTTTTCAGTAGAAACAATTATCGTGTTGAGTCTGTTCTGCACCAGAACTACAACTTTCTTATTTTCTTACATCTGCTAAGCTCACTGCAAACAAACTTGATTTCTTCAAAAAGGTTCACGGTCTTTTGTGAAGCCTTTGCTGAGCTCTTGTTGAATCCAAGCCAGGCTCGCAGCACTTTGGGTCTTGGTAGGACAAGGGGAAATAGTTTCGAACTAAAAGAAGGAAGATCTGGACTGGTTATACGGAAGAAGTTTTTAATAAGAGTAGTGAAGCACTGGAACAGATTGCCTAGAGAGGCACTGAATCTCCATCACTGGAGACATCCACGGTCAGGATGAAGGGGCTCAGTGCACCTGATCTAGCTGTAGGTGTCCCTGTTCATTGCAAGGGAGCCAGACTAGATGACCTTTAACAGTCTTTTGCAACTCAAATGATTCTATGATTTAAATAAATTAAACCTGCCTTGCAGGAAGCAAACCAGAATTGTTTGATACGTAGACTAAGACCTTAGCTGGGGTGGGAAGAACTGTCGGCCTACAGTACTGCTGCATTTCTGAATGTAGAGACACAAGTTCCAAACAATCATCAAGCACACTTCAAAGCCATAACCATGCTCAATGCCATGCCGCTCTTCAGAGCATTACTTAGAGAACTGTGCATCACCTCTCTCCCCACCAGCAGCTTGGGAGCCAGCTCTGGACATAAGAGGGGTCAGCTCAGGGCTGGAAGTCCACATGGCAGGCAGGCATTAGAGTACAAATATACAAGCACTCTGGGACAGAAGCTGTCTCAGACCCTTTAGCTTGGGTTCATGTCTGTGTTGGAGAGCAAAGCAATGCTATGAGTGCTCCCAACTCCCAGCAACTAGTCCCTTTGGCATTAGGGACTGTGCCACAGCTGGAATTCCCTGCAGCTTTTTGAAATGCTCCTCACACAGAAACACTGAGAGCTAAGTATGATGAAAACAAATTCACTTCTTAAGAGGTAATTTTTACTGGCTTGTTTCCCTTTGTTTTTATAAGCACAAAGAATCAGGTTACCCTCACCCCCATTGATGAGATTCCATCACAGTTTCAGTACCGTAATTTCTCATTTTCACTAGCAGAAGTGAAACCAGAATGTAGTCCAAATTCACTTGAGTACCACTAAAGTGTCTGAATAGAGACCTGTAAGTGCTTCCAGTTCACAAAACAGTTTTCTTGCTGGTAGTGCTGTGCTTGAAGACGAACACCACTTCAGTTAGGCGGCTCATAACTTTCTCTGCGTAAAAATTCATAAGGTTTCTTCACTGGGGAGCCTGAACAGCCCTTATACACAATTTTTATTTCACAATGGACCCAATAACATTGCACTTTGCAAAGACTTGTGTTTATTTTTAAAGTCCAGTCCACTCACCCTCACTCCTATTACTTCACCAATATTTCTTTAACTCTTCCATATTTTTTGTAAGCAACACATTATTCCAGTTTCTCAAGTTCCTCCTGCCAGAAGTTCACTCAAAGTATCTTGTTTAGCAACTATTCACAAATAGCTCTTCCACAACAGCAAGACTTAGTGCTCTCGTAGCCATGATGATTTAGAAATATGACTTTTCTGAAAGCTTTTCTGAAAGCTTTTCAGTTTTTTTCAATTACATCGGCTTGGCCTAAAGAAAGGCAGCACTTGACTACAAACCTTGTCTTCATCGACTCACCGTGGTTTTGCCATGCAGCAAATAGGCAAGCTCACTGTAGAGGCAGTAACAGCAAAGAGTGCTGAACCCTCCCTGTACCATGCAGGGTGACTGAGGACCTGGGGAATCGTGAGAGGTACTGTGCTCGCTTAGCAGATTTGTAAATGAGCATATGCCAAAGCATCCTCCCTTCAATGAGAGGAGGTCTGAACTTTCAAAACAAAAGCAGGATTTCAGTAACTTCAGGGCAAACGCAATAGATGGTTGAGAGAAACTGGTAGCCAAAGAGTATATTCCTCCAATTTCAAACAATATTTTCTTGCAAATACTCCAAATGATAACAAAAAAATGCAATAAAATATTAAAAATTACATATACATGCATGGAACACAACTGAAGTTTTCTGTCATATGCTCCCTTTTGATTTGCGCCAGAAAACAGCAACGTGGAACCAAATCTTAACATCATAGGAATTGTTTGTTGTGGGTGCCCCATCCCTGGAGGGGCTCAAAGGCCAGGCTGGATGGGGCCCTGGGCAGCCTAAGCTGGTAGGTAGCAGCCCTGCCCATTGCATGAGCATTGGAGCTGGATGGGCTTTAAGATCCCTTCCAACCCAAGCCATTCTCTGATGCTGAGATTCTATTCTGATTTACCTTTTTTTTGGTTTTTAAACAGAAATTGATTACTTCTTCAGCTCCTCAGGTGGTACCTCAGCACACAGACATCACCCCCAACCAAACATTAATTCCACAGCAGAGTGGTTTCCTTGTTATTGCACCAATTTGATGTTAATAAGTCTGTTTAAACTTGGGATGAAAATTCTCTTTCATCCTAATTTGGCTAATTTTAAGCTTCCCATAGAGTAACAGCTTGTCTGTATATTTAAATCAAGGCTAGACTGCCAGTTTCCAGGGAATGCCATAATTTAAGGCATTGTCATTCCTACTACAATTGATATAGAAAGGAGGACGTAGTTAAAAAATTCTGAGTGAAGCAATGCTAGTATTAAGGGAAAAGCCTTAATGCCAAAAAAGGGGAAATTAATGGGTAAGGTAATATATTTTAAAGCCCAAAGGAGATGTTTCAGAGCTTCCGAAGCATCAGGAAATACCATGAAAGAAGGATATGTAAAGTGAAGTAACAAAACATCAGGAAAAAAAAAGAAAAAAAAAAAATAATAAAATTGTTATTGCTAATAAAAACCTTAATGGGATTTTTTTTTTTTTTTCAAATAAATATAATCCACTCTTAACGTTAAAACAGCTGGTGGTTCTAAGAAGGATGTGCACACATCAGTTTGCTCAGAAGTTTCCATTTCTCAGCTGAGGAGCCCTTAGGCCTCACATCCTTTTGTCTGATGCCCTGGAAGGAAAATCTGAGCTCTGTCAGTTTTACTGGTATTCTGAAGTGCTGCACCGCAGACAGAAATGTTTTTCTAGATCATGAATATTAGTTTAGACCCTGCAGACCACAGGGCTGAGAGCTCCTGTGATGTAATCCTAGCCATGCAACACAAGCTAATGTCATTAGCTGAACTATCATTATGTATATGTCTGCTTAGGAAAAAATCTAGCTGGCCTACAATTGATATTTTACCCAAGCAAGAAAATGGGGACCAATGTAACCCAAGTCTACTTTGCTCCATGAAGTATGCTACAACATAATCCTTAGTGGAAGAAATATGACCAAGAGTATCACAGGTTAATTATATGTACCCCTAGCTTTGACATCACTGGTTGTAAAATAGTCATAACTTCAGCATTAAAGATGTAGCCATGCAGTGCATGCCACATAACTCGTTTGTATTCATACTGTACTTATTGTTAAAATGTTGAGAACTACACTTTTCTTAAAAGGTCTGCAATCCTGATTGCCAATGGTATGTCTTCTCCACACAAATCATTTTTATCAGACACAGTATGTAAGGGGTGCTAAACTGCAGAAACAAATTAGCTACCAGACAGCTAATGCCTTACTTCTGCTCCCAGCTGTTGGTGATTATAGAACCATTGACTGCACAGTTATTCCTGACTTGTATCAGTGAAAGTGAGAGCTGCACCTCATGGAGAGCCAAACCTGCTTTGGAAAGGTCTGTCGGTGCAGCAGCAATAATCACATTACGTTGATCACAGATTTTACACAGTGATGTTGTTTTTAACCTGTGCTAAGCCACTGGAGAGCTGTGGACTATTTCTAAAGACTGTGCAAGAAGCTGCAAAGAAATGCAAGTCAAAGTACTTTGTGAGTAAGTTATCAAAGAGCTGTACATCATTGAGAATCTTTTATGAACAGGCCAAAATCTATCAAAAATAGCTACTGTTAAAGCAACAGCGGACATTTATTTAAACATACACTGAGTTCAAAGTAACGCACTGCATACTGCCACAGTTCATTCAGTGCTCACCCATTTGTGTCTTGCAGTGAGCTCTGCAGGGTGGTGGCCACACCAATAGTACCACAACGGCTACCACATGGAGACAACAACCAATCAAAACTAAAACTTCCCTCTGAGCTGCTCTGATGGCTGCCACGGTGCTTTCACCCAGCAAACAAAACCAGGCTGCCAGCATCATCCTAGCAGCAGAAAGCAACTTCAAGGCATGGCGATGGGGAATCAACAAGTGGCAGAGAATTCATTTGATGTTTAAGCAAATCGTACAGTGCATTCCTTATAGAGGAGGAAGGCCTCTGGTATATAAACCTCAGACATCGTTTAAGAGAAATCAAGTAAATAATAATGGCATAAAAGCCTCCCCCTGTAGGTGTGAGGCACGGGACTGAGAAAGGCAGCCCGACACCACAGCACATCCATCCATCCATCCACCCATCCACACACCCTGAAGCCCTGCCACCCAGGCACAGTGCCACACGCTAAGGCCAGCGCTGAGCTCTGGCTATGGGCAGTGGGCTCAGGGCTGAGCCCCCACGAGCCGCTGCTGCTCTGACCGCAGTTTCGCTGGGCGTTTTCAAGATGCTGTGAATTTAATACACGTATCTGGGAGACTCAACGCAGGGATTTAAATAGGTGGCACTGTTTGCCGAGTGCAGTCAGGATGAAAAATGATTTTTAAATGCTCGCCTTTCTAACGAGGAGGTCAAGGTCCGTTTATTAATTTCCATCTATTTTCCCCTTTCGCAGGGGCTGGGTGGAGAGGGGGAAGGAAGACACAACCGCACCATCTGCCCACACCTCCCCTGCTCTGCAAACAGCAACGCGCAAAGCGGGGAGTAGAAGGGGGGTTAAGGAAACCCCAATCTCAAGGCGCTCCCCAACTTCTCCGGCCAGCAGAGAGACGGCACAAACCCATTTCCGAAGCGGCCTTACAGGGACCGCTCTCACACCCCGGCCGGCCCCCAGCCCGGCCCCGACGCCCCCACAGCCCCCCAGGGCTGCCCCGGCCCGGCCCCGCCGCCGCCCCTACCTCTCCCGCCCGCGCCGCCGGCCGTGGAGTTGCCGCAGCCCATGGGCGCCGCCTGGGCCGCCCCGCGGTGCGGAGCCGCGCGGAGGGGAGCGGCGGCGGGAGGCTGCCGGCGGCGGGCGGAGCCGGTGGGAGATAAAGCCGCGGGGACCCCTCCTCCTCCCCTTTTCCTCCTCCTCCTCCTCCTCCTCCTCCTCCTCTCCCCACCCATCGCCCCGGAAACCGCTGGCCCTGCTCCGCTACGCCGGCTCATCCCCGCTGAAAGCCCCGCACCTTCCCGGCTGTCCTCGATACCCCTTTGGCAGCTCCGGGACACCCCTCATCCGCTGGGGTGGCACAGGGCGAGGCGACAGAGCCATTGCTGCTTCCTCAGATGGTTGCCTTCAGTGTTTCTCTTCTGACAGAAGAGTCTTCTGGCTGCCATTGGGTTGCCATTGGGACCCACTGGATTGGGAAGAGCTACAGATTCACTGTTACCCGCTGATACCAGAAACACAGAGAAACATGCAAGATGAGTTTACAAACTTTACAAGGATTCTTTTTTTTTTTTTTTTTGGGGGGGCAGCCTGATCTGGTGGGTGATAGATCCAGCGGTGGCAGCAGGGGGTTGGAAATGCATGGCGTTTAGGATCCTTTCCAATCCGAGCCATTCTATAATTACTTCCCTCAAAGAATTTCTTTTTTTTTTTTTTTTTCTAACCCGAAACTTTCCATCCAAATAGAGCAGTAAAATATTTCCGAACTCTGGTGATGTACTCCTGCTCAGTCATAGAATCAAAGAATCATAGAATGGCCTGAGTTGAAAAGGACCACAATGATCACCTAGTTTCAAGCCCCCGGCTATGTGCAGGATCGCCAACCAGCAGACCAGGCTGCCCAGAGCCACATCCAGCCTGGCCTTGAATGCCTCCAGGGATGGGGCATCCACAGCCTCCCTGGGCAACCTGTTCCAGTGTGTCACCACTTTCTGAGTGAAAAATTTCCTCCTGATATTTAACCTAAACCTCTCCTGTCTCAGTTTAAAACCATTCCCCCTTGTCCTGTCACTATCAACTCATGTAAACAGTTGTTCCCCCTCCAGTTTATATGCTCCCTTCAAGAACTGGAAGGCCACAATGAGGTCTCCCCAGAGCCTTCTCTTCTCCTAGCTAAACAAGCCTCTTTTGATGCAGCCCAGGATACTATTGGACTTCTGGGCTTATGTCCAGCTCGTCTTCTACCAGGCGTGTATGCATAGTCTTCTTTACCACATCAGCCCCCAAGCACACAGGCTTAGATTTTGTTGCAGAAAAAAATCTCCCAAAGGCTCACAGGCACATCTTTTTGATGGCCAATTTTCTGAAAATCACATAGAGAAAAACAAATTTTCAGTCTGAGCTTTCAAATGCCAAGCATCAGCCCAAAGTGAATTTTTATGGCAGAGTTATGAAGGAAGAATGGGTCCTATGAAAGCAAGGCTGGGAGACATGCCTAAGAACCCCTATCTCTTTATAATATGAAAACAAACAAAGAGTCCCAGCTACCCATGGTGACCATAAAGTTGCCACAGTGTGGAATAATCTATGAACCTGGTTCATAGATCCTGGTAGGATTTAGGATGAAGGCAATGTGTTGTGCTCCCAGGTATATTGCCAGGGACAGTAATCAGCCAGGCTCTCCTGGTTCACTTAAAAGAAGTGCTCCAAGGCAAAACTTTCTCTCTAGGCAGCTGTATTGCAGGTGTCTCCTATTTCATTTGAGAAGACACACTTCAGTTTCAACTCTACCCGCACTCTACACAAAATGAGTATTTTAGTTTATTGCAAAAAATCCTTCTAGCAAAATAACAGTCACATAAGCAAGTTTGCTAAGTGAATGCTTTACATTAACAGAATGGAGTCTTCAGAAAGATGCTTTCCATGCATCAGCGAGCTCTTGGTGCCTGCAGTCGCTCACCCTGCATGCTCCGTCTCCTCTGAGGAAGACTGGGAGATACATGGTTATGGAGAAATATAAGTATTTCAGGTGTAGTATGAAAAAAAATTGCTATTCTTTCCCTAAATCAACCTCAAATGTACCCAACTGAGAGGTCAGGCTGGTTAACTGGATTATCCAAATCTGAACTTCCAGTATTTTTCTCTTTTTGGACATTTTTCTTAGTCTGTGTTTGACATACAAACAATCTACTTCAAACTGATTGGTCTATGGATAATATTTTTTTAAATCCCATAGTTACTTTTAAATCTCATACTTAGAAAACAACCCTTATGCGTACAAGAATGTATGTTTTCCTAAATTAATTGTATCTAATAATTCATATTAGAACATTCACCCATTATTTTTTTTCTAGGAAAACATTCTCTTTCAAAAGCTTGTATCTCAGCTCATGCAAGTACCAAAAAAAAAAAAAAAAAGAAAAGAAAAGAAAAGAAAACCACTGTTAATTACCAACTTCTCTTTTTTTTTTTTTTTATCAAAGGTTATCTAATATGGATTTCTCAAAACCACAGGTGTCTGGGAAAAAAAAAAAATCATTCTTCTACCAGAAATTATCTTCCTGAGAATATTTTTTTTTCAAAATGATAGATTTGGAAAACAGGAATTAAGAAAAACTTTCCCTCTTCAAGAGCAACACCACAAAACATTTATCAAAGTTAAGCAATGCAATCAGTTTGTTCTGATAGGTTCTCAGTTCCATTGCTTTCAGGTTGAAATTCTAGGGCTTTCAGGACACTGTGGATTATGTTTCTTCTTGGACAGTTTTATGGTCTTATCACAGTGCTCTTTAATAACTAGCAACCTTGGTTAGTTGTTTTCTCAAAATTATGGTGCTGTGTTGACAGTTGTTGTTGTGATCATTTAGCTATGGAAGGTCAGCAAGTTACAGCTCAATTTCCCAGTAAACCTACTGGGATGATTCCGCTTGAAAAAAATCATAGTTGTAAGCAAGCATGGTTTCTATATATTTAGCAATCCTTTAACAGATTCTCATATATGAACCTGTCCCACCTTCTCTTAAACTCACATGAATCCTTGGCTGCCCAAGCATCCCACACTGCACTTCTCAGCCACATCTGATCTGAAGAACCCCTTTGTTTGCCTCAAGCCTGGCTGCTGCTCATTTCAACTGCTGCCTGGCTGTTCTTTGCATTAGGATAAACACTGAAATGAAGAACCAGTCCCCCACTCCAAGTCATTCATGCTTTTTGTTCTTCATAGTAGAATAAGCAGCAAGGAATAAAGCCACCATTCACCCACACTACTACTAATCTGTCACACTGTAGTCCTTAGTTAGCAGCAGTGATGATAAACTGTCATTTCCTGGCTGCTGTTTCAACACGTAGTTAAAATACTCTGAAAGAGTATTCAAATTAAATCAAAATGACGGCTTCTTTTATTTAAAGAACAATTACAGTAGATCATGGAAGCTGACTTCAGAAATAAATCATTTAAACTCTTCACTTTAAACGAAAAAGAGCATGTATCAAGAACAGGGGCATTTTTCTTCCTAAGGCAAGAAGATTTTTGCTCACCCATCTGTTCCAGCTTTCATGGAAATCACAAATAAAATTCTCATTACTGTGCCAAATTAGTCATGGATTGGGACAGAATCAACTAAATCAGTGAAAATTTAGCATTATTTAAAACCTGGCAGGACTGAACAAGAACCATGATCATGGAGAAGAACAAGCAGATCACTGAGGGTTGGGCCATCAAATGTGGAAGAAATGTGAATACTCTGTTAGCAAATACACCTGCTTATACAAACAACAAAAATGACAACAAAAGCCTAGCTCTCTTTCAATAATTAATTTTGTAATACTTCCTGAATGTGGGTATTTTTAATACTGATGAAAATCTACATGTTTTTTAAAGCTAAAAGTCTAGGACATATGATTCTTAGCTATTTTACACAGTAAAATGGAGTTCAAGAATGAATTTTTTAAAGGCTAGTTCATGGGGAAGAAGTGTCATAATTCAATATTAGTATCTTCATATGAGTATGACATGCTGAAGTTTTAGCACACAGCCTTCGAAGAATTTGCTCCTGAGCTCAATTATTACCTGCTCCCCGCAAGATTTTTCCTTTAGAGCCATAGGAATGATGCAGTTTTGGGCCATGTAACAGCTGCATCCATATTAGTGACAGTGATACGTCATTCCAACATCTGCAGTGCATTTGGGCCTAGGAGAGGGAATTACCAACTTTGGAAATCTGATCACAGCTGAGCCATTGGAGTCCCTTCTGGGAAAACTGGAGGAAAACAAGAAAATGCCTACAGAGATATTTACTAGAATATCTGACTGCCCGTGTCTAAGTTCTTCAGAGTTGCAGTTAGGTAACAACCTCATCTTTTCCCTTTGCAGAAACAAACAAGATTTCAGTGACTTTCAATGAATACAATTCCAAATTCATGGACATGTTTTCCATAATTTCCTTCCCTTTCATTTGAAAAAGATGCTTGGTTTAGTGCTGGTTTAATTGTTGCTACAATCCAAGGTAGGTGCCCTTGAAACTAGCAGATGGACAAATGCTTAAATTGTGTATTCAGAGACAGTCTGGCATTCTTTCTGTGACCAAAAGGTTGATTCATATGCTAAATTGTGTATTCAGAGACAATCTGGCATTCTTTCTGTACCCAAAATGTTGATTCAAATGCTATATTAGAAGTCTTATGTTATAAGACTTTTTATATGCTACATTAAAAGTCTTATAAAAAATCAGAAGATACTTAACAATGCTTCTTACCTCTGAGGTCACTCAGCCTTCATCTTATGCTGCTGATAACAGCCAGCCTCCCTCCCAAAGCTCTACTCTGTGGGAGAAAAGCATCTTACTCTGACCCTCTAATATGATATGCAGACAGAGTAATCTCATTCTTATGTATCTCACTACATAAATTAATTAGCAAGATGCAGCTAAATCAGCTTTTACAAATAAAGGATCAGAAAAATGAAAATAAGAAATGGAAAAAGTCTGGAGAAGGACATTTATAGTGACATGTCTTCGAGATGCCTGTGCAGAAGAGCATCCCTTCTGAAGTGCAGCATATTTCACTTAATCCCACCGATTTTTACTTAGCACTTGCACCATTTGATAAGCTTAAACCACTAATTAAATAG